CCTGCTCTTAGACTTCCGCCGACGATTGTAACGTTGTTGATGCTGTTGCTGCTGCGATTGTTGTTTGCGCGCTTTCTCATGCTTCTTGGGCGCAGATTCGCGGCTCGACTCAGACAAGCTGCTCGTGGACTCGGTGCTGCTCGACTCAGAATCGGCGGATCCCGACACGGTGCTGCTTGGCTTCGCTACCTGCTGGCCGTCGGCCGCTGGCGCGTTCTGCGGCACCGCCGCTGTTGGGCTTTGACCGCCGCTCGACAAAGTCTCGGACGCTTCTCTCTGATTATCTACCGTTTCTTTTTCATCAACTAAAGTATGACGTCAGGAAGTTACACTTAATTTCCCAGCAGCCACATGCGGATGGGTTGTCTGTCGAAACATACCTGACTCTCGGCAGCTAGTATTACCGGTATGATTTTCCTGTTGCTTATTACTGTACTGCTCTTCGCTACGCTGCTCCTCCTCCTCCTCTTCCTCGGCGAGTCGTGCCTCGATCTCCTCCTCCGTCTTGCGAAATGCCTGCTGTCGCCGTCTCAGCGTTTCCTGCGAAATTGACTTGTGAAATAAAACGGTATCACCTTTGCAAGTTGAATTAATCATGACAAATGATTAATTTAACAGTATTGCGAAACTAAAATCTATTTGAATTTTTTAATTTTTATAAATATGTAAAGTGATTTAATATAGGAGTTATTCACATCACATCATCCTTTAGTAAGATTTTTTACTTTAGAAGCAAAAGTGCTTTTGAAACAGAAAATTAAAAATTTTTTTAGAAAGATCTTTTGTCTTTAAGAGAAAGCGGGAGATTTATACAGTCAAATCCAAGGGAACATTTGCGAACATATAATATTCAGAAAAAGAAATAAATACAATTTAGATCTTATTGAGCAAATCTTACCCTTTAAGATTGAAAATCATATTTTTGAAGAGCCATAGAGCACGAATAATATACATATCGTTATTCATGGATTGAGTCACTTTACATATTCATAAAAATTGATACAAATAAAAAATTTCGCAGTATTTCCTCGTGTAAGAAAATTCCTACCTTCAACTCTTCATCGCTATCATCATTCTGAATCTGCGCGTGTTCACTCTGTTCCTCCTCGGACTCGCTGTTACTGTCGTTATAGATGCTCAGACCTACGGCAGATAAGAGCCAGGAATTACATCCGTTTAATGCGCACGCGACACTCTCTCAATGTCGGAGCGACAGAAAAACAAATAAAAAAAAAGGTAAAAAAATATATGCTCGGCTCTGGCTAATTTTCACAGCCGTTACTCTCATCAAGAAACGTCCTGAGAAAGAGCACAAGAGAGAGAGAGAGAGAGAGAGAGAGAGAGAGAGAGAGAGAGAGAGAGAAGGAGAGGGGGAACACCTCTCTTTCGGCAACGATAAATTTCTACGAGAGAACGGCCGAGTTTAACATCAAGTTAAACTTGAACTTGTGCGTAATTACACAGTGTCCCTTTTCTTTCTCTCCTTTCTCACGAGTCACTGCGTCACTGTTTCACGGCCGTTCCCTACAGATATCGCCGTGCGTTATAATAGAGCGTTAAAGCGTACTCACCGAGTGATTCGTGAGTGATCTGAGCAAGAGGGGCCATGTTGAGGGATGCGACGGGGGTCTCTCCTGCAGGGACTTACAATACACACGCATTTAGTAATCAATCGCTAAAAGTGTGCAGTACCGCATACGGATAACGCCCCCGATAATACCGAATGGCTCTGATCAGCCCATTCGCGCAAAGGGGGCGAATCATCCCTTCGCTTCCTTTTATGTACCTTAAGAAATCTTTAATAGCATTATTCCACACTTATAAGTCAAACTATAATATTCTAATGCCCTAAAGGAAAATTACATCTACATCGCGCGGTTTGCTACGCAAACTTGTAACTTTTATTGCCGGAACTTCGAAGGATAAAGTTCGCAATGCATGAAATGAAGTTTGTTAGAGATACTTATAAAAATTCGGATAAATGCCTTTAAAATGTTTACAAATCAAATAATAAAACATGCCCATGCATAGATGGGTATGACAGATATAATACGATAAATATTTTTCATTAATTATACACATATTAAATATTATTAAATTATAATATCTAGACGTCCTTATTAAAACAATTTCAGATTGTTAAAATACTATTTACACTATGGTATAAAAGTATAATATTTTAGAGTGCCTTTATCATAGAGATATATCGCGAAAAAGATCATTACCGGACATAAGGATGCCGGTAATGTAAAAATGTCTTAAAAATCTGCGATACGTAATCACGGAATGATTACGTGATTAAAAGCGAGCGAGAGAGAGAGAGAGAGAGAGAGAGAGAGAGAGAGAGAGATGTGTCTTATACTACACGCAAATCTCTGAAAAACGCAAAACATAGGATGTCCTGAAATTGCCGAATAATTAAGTCTACATGTTAAGGTATCTCTGTTTAATGCTCTCAAACTTTGTATTACACAATCGCACAGCTTCGTCGCAGCGTGGTGTCGCGAGTAGACTCATTGACTCGGAATGTGCCCCGATGGGCGAAAGCACGGAAATTCAATTGGTTAGTTCTATCGTGTGTATCTGGGGGGGTACCTTTGGCACGTGCGCGGCTCCAAACCTCTCTGCATACCGCACCAATTTCTTCATTCGTCACTTCCAGAAGTATTTCCGTCAATGATCTCCTCACTTTCAACATCTGCGTAATAGAAGATGCAATCCACTCCGATATCATTAAATTCATTATAATTAATTAAATATAATTATAATTATAATTAATATATTGGATATTAATTTAAATTATTTTGGATCTTTGTTTAACTTAATATCAATTGATATCGTATCTTTTATTTTTATGTAACAATTTTTTAAGTTGAAGTTACTATTACTTTTTTGCGAGGTTGGAAATAAAAAAACTTTCATTGAGAATACAAAAAAATATATGACATATCACTTAGTGTAAAATAGTACCATATACTTGCGCCAAGTTAAATCCCAAACTATCCATGCTAAATTAAATAAAAAATATAATCCACGTGTACTATCTTTAATCTTTAATACAATGAAATCTAAGGATATATCTTTGTATTCCTATTAAAGGATCTTCTTATTCCGATCCAAATGACTTTAATTCTTTTCATAAAAATTTTTATATGATAATTAATTTGAAGATATTTTCTCTTCCAACTTAATTGTAAATAGTAGTTATTAAATTCTCCTTCAAAATATTCAAAATGTTAGCACAAAATTGCGTTACCTTGTCTATTTAAGTATTTGCTACAAAAAATTAAATAAGTAAACACTTGACGCTGCTTTTAACCGAGATGAAATGAAAACCTAAATCTTGCCTTTTTAAATTATAGATTGAAAATTAAAAGCCGTTAATGCAAAAAACATGTAAGGAGTAAATTATGTTGTTATAAAATATTAATAATATAATATTAACATTTGCTCGTTAAAAATAGCAAGATTCATAAATATTTTCCAGTGTTATGAACGGTAATGTATATCTATGGCCATCGCCACTTAGTCATTGTACTACATTGTGAATGTTATAATTTTATAGAGAAATCTTCTAGATGAATGCAAAAATTGAATTCCAAAATACAATAGTACAAAATCAAATGCTCCAAAAGAATATATCCAAGTAAAAAACTTTTTGAGGGCCGAAATAAAAAAAAAAACTATTTTTTATCAACTTTTATTCTTAATTTTTAGTTTTTGTTTAGTCATTTTCATCTTTATACTTACCACATCCTGTAAAATTTCCTCTCGAGACCGTTTCTGCACAATCGGAACCATACTAACCACAGTAGTCGGGCTCTCATCGGGTCCCGTATGAGACTCGGGCGAATCAGCGTCCCTGAATCGTGATTTTCGCGGTCGAACAATGATATCCGGAGTGCGATCGTAGCTCTTTTCCACAGATTGTTGTCCGCGTGCGTTATTCGTATCGAAATCCTGCTCAGTTTCCTTTTCCGAATCCGAATCCTGTAGGAGCAAGTATGACAATGGATAATTTCATGTTTTAAAATTCGCGAAGTCACGGACAATATCGGTACAATATGAAAACTCAGCGGATTTATGATCTTTAAAGTTTAAACAAATATGATTATGCGAAATTTTCATCATGTCATTTTTTGTCACTTGACTTATCAATCACGTGTCAATGCAATGAGGATGAAAATGAATCATTCTTTTATAGATTTGGCTAAACTAGGAATTAATTTTTAAGCTCAATGCACTGAAATAAAGCCGAAACATCTGTAATTCTTATTATCGCGTTACATTGATTAAAAGTATGTAAATTGAAAAATCTTATAATCTTCTTAATTACCGCGCAAAAACTCTCATTAGCCCGATTTGTTTTTATCTTATTAGACATTCTCGAGAATTACTCTTTGTTTTGTAATATAAAAACAAATATGATTTAATTTTTTCCCGAAATAAAAAGATAATTTTCGCTACATTTTACAAATCTATTCTATAAATTGAAAAAATTTTATTTAAAAATATTTCTGTTTAAATATAATTTGAAAATTTTATTGTTTTCTTGTTTCTGATGAGATCATAATCTGAGTTAGTAATTGAGTGAACGAGAGTTTTATTGCTTACAAATTTACTCTTGCTCGGATTGAGCACTGCACGTGCCTCATCCTCTGCTTGCTTGCGAGCTTCTAATTCCTGCTTTCTCATTATTTCTAGCCTTTCTTTCTCCATGGCTTTCTGTTTCTCCTTTTCCATCTTCTCCAGACCTTCGCGAATCCATGCTGGCAACTGTCTTCGTTTTGCGGCATCTACAAAATGGATTAACAAAAATGTATAACTGACACTTTATGTTGAAATTTCATAATTGCCAAATCAGCTGAATCAATTTCAACGATTACAAGCTATTATTATCCATAATTATAATTTTTACCTATAGTTGTAGTAGTATCTTCCTCCGGTGTCTTTTCTCTGTCATCTCGACCTCGAATAGAATCCATCGCTCTCATGTGTGGTCCTCTACTTGCATGCCTCATGCCCTTCATAAAAGGAAGCGGCTGTGGTGATATTGCATTAGGTGGCTCACCAGACCAATAGTTAGAAACCTGATAAACACATTTATTAAGGTACTTAATGCAACATGTGGCGTCCATATAAAAGCAGTTGATTCACAGTCGGTAAGAGTTCGATCTCGATCCTTATCTTATGTATGTCTTGACTTTATAAGAAATTGATTAAAAAATTATGTAATTGAAGTTTGTGAATAATACCCGCCTCTCTCTCTTTCAGATTACAATTTTTAATAATTTTTTTTATATTACTCAACTTTACAATATCAATACTTTTATTATTATTTTGATAGTTTATCTTGCTGATAAGGATTAAGTTAAAATGTCCATTTGTCTTTCTAAATTATTAGAGAATAAATTATTTATTATTAATACTTTATTATTAATACTAATTTTACCATTTTTAATTTCTCATCGTTTTTCTTATATTGCTTTGCAACTGACGAGCCTTACATTTACTTTATTTTTTTTTTTTTACTTTTTAATTTCAACTAGATATAAAATAAGAAAGTACTTAGCTTGAGACTTGAAAACTTTCTGGAATCTTCTTTCAACCTAAACTATTCTGTGCCATTCTAGAGTAGAAATTTCACATTCCTTCATTTTTTTACCTGATTATATGGTTGTCCAGGTGGCATCGAATTATACGAGTACAGGGACGGCGCAGGGGGAGGTGTGTTGAAATCAGTAGTAGTCGATATCGTTGGTGCAGGTGGAATAACCGGTACAGCTGGAAGTCCAATTGGTTTGCCATCGGGATCTACGGTAACACCCGGGGGAGGAACGCCACTCCATTCCCAATTTCCGGTTCCAGATGTTGAGGCGTTCCAGTGACCCCATTGGTTCCACTGAGTCCAAGCTTCTATTCCGCAATATTATATCACAATAAGGAAATCTCTCTTGTTACCAATTTCAATAGTTTGAACTTAACCATTCATTATTAATGTTAACATGGATGATTCAACTTCAGTCCAAGTCCAATTTTCAATTTCTCCGAAAAATAAAATGCCATATTTTTCGTAACAGTAGGAGAGTTCTCCTACTATAAAATGAGAGCAATCCGAGACACACAAAATTATAAAATAATGGTGACAAACATGGATAGAACAAGTTCAGCATTATAGTTTTTGACTAAAGAAGAAATTAAGTGAATTCAGAAATTTTACGGCATTTGCAAACCCATAGTTTTGGCGATAAATATTCTTTTCAAATCTCAAGTACATGAGTAATATATAAAAAGTCAGAAATGGAGAGGATTTTCATCAAATGATTTTCATAAGCAATAGCTTCAACACATCAAAGTTAAAGACTTATTTTGCAAGTAGCATCATTGCGAAAATTATGGAAGGTATATGTACGTGCATATGTGTGTCTGTGTGCACGCGCGCGCATGTAGAACGATACTTGTAAGAGACTTATATCGAAATACTGGCCTGTCACAACTATCAGAAATCTAAATCGATCTATCAGAATTATCCTTGAAATATGTTGTTCAACACAAAAACCTAAGACATTTTTTTATATCGACTCAATTTGTGATTTAAAGACTGAAACAATTTCTCAAAACTAACACATATCTAATTTCAATTATTATCAACAAAATAATTAACTAAATAAAAATATGTTTTAGACAAAACTTGTATAATTTTTAAATATATTTTATAACTGTATATCTAGAATTTTCAAAAAAATACATGTATCTCAGAGTTTGATATTTAACAATATATTTCAAGAAGAATTGAATCAAGGTATCTATTATGGAAATGTTTGGAATGGATTCCAATCAGAATTATTCCATTTTTTCTAGAAAACACAATAGTAATTTAGGGACTGATTTAGGAGACTAATTGAACAATCGGAATCCATTCTGACTTGTTCCATGATAGGTGTCCAGTTGTTCCTAGTGACAATACATAGTTTCATTGTCATTATTAAAATTTTGAACGGAAGTTAAACCATCCAAATCAGATGTTCTTTTTTCACCGGATCCACTGATGGTCGGTGCAGGTGGTGCTGGAGGCACATCATCGTCCTTAGTATCCATGTCCATTGGTGCCTCTCCACTACCATCATTCGCAGAACATACAGGATTTATGCTGGGTGGTGGTGGAGCTGGTGGCACGACAGTTTCCTTCATCTTTATCCATTGCTGCGCCAGAGCAGCCCAATCCACTATTCCAGATAATAACATTAATATGTTTAATTTTTATATTTACATTAATAAATTCATACGTTTTACTTATTCTCCATTACCAACTTTACCAACTTTAAAAAATTTTCTAAAAAAAGAAAAGGACAAGTTAGAATTGCTTTCCAATCAAAATGTGGTGTATAAGATCTCATGTGATGATTGTGAGGCCATATGTTGGCCAAACAAAAAGAAAATTGAGTACGAAAACATATTTCAGATATATCAACAAGAAAACGGGTTCTCCATCTATCATATCTGATCACTATATCAATTTCAATCACAATTTTAGATGGAATGAAGTGAAGATTTTAGACAGTGAATCTTTCTATAATAAGAGATTGATATCTAAAATGATTCACGTAAAAAGATAAAAACAGAACTTAAATAAACAAAATGATACAGAATCTTTGCCTGAATCCTACAGATTATCTAATCCCTCTCTCCCTCATAATTCCTCCTTTTGTTTATGTACATCCACTTCTTTCATGCCTACACTTCTATCCCCTCTAGTTCCCACTTCCCAACATCTATCATAATCTTTTCCTTCATGTCAATTATTTCATAATGTCTCATAACTCCAAAGAGACAATATTTGTTTTACTTCTTATCGCATTGTTTCTAATTTTATCCGACTTCCTGCGACAGAAACACTTTCAATTTTTGACTAAAGAAATTTTGGTTTTTTACATCAAAGGTATTTATTCGTATTAATTTTAGCTGTTACTAAATTATAAACTCATATAATATATTGATATACAGTTTACAAATTTGAGTTTTATTAATTTTTTTCAATGTATCATCTCAATATATTATATTATCTGGTTTGCTAGTTCATAGCAATTTCTTCTTTTTACTGTAACAATAATCTTGCGCCGACATAATTCTTATATATTATATTTTATCTACAGGACTAAACTCATTTTCATGCGTTATATTCTCTGATTTACATTATATCAAATGACATTATTCAAGCTAATTGATTACAATTATGATTGATTACTATTGTCATCGACGACTTTTCTTTTTCCAAACTACATTATAACTGTGAACAGGATGATAATCATTTTATGTTACCAGCTGTTTGTTAGAGAGAGCGAAATATAATTTTCAATCTTTAAGAGATAGATACATTTAAAAGTTTTAGGCCGATTGCACCAACGTTACTTTAATTTAAGCGAGGCTTAAAACTCTTTCTATCTCTTCCTCTCATCTTTAAAGAGAGAAAATGAGTTTTAAGCCTTTGCTTAAAGCAAAATGCCTTAATGCAATCAGACTTTAAAGAGTTAACAAAAATGCATCTTTGTCAATTTGCGAGTGACTTAAACATTATGGACATGTGAGCTAATTATACTTGTATCATTCTTGCTGAGGAGGACTCCAAAGAGAGTCGAAACATTCAAAATAAAGAAGACAATCCAATATCTGATTATTAATTGTTCACTAAATAATTGTGCTATTTATTGTTGCTGACTCATTAGCCTACTATATTTATCTTTTCTTGTATTGTTTAAAATTCAAAAGTCCTAATATAATTATTGTTATTGTTAACAAAATACAGAATTGATATAGAATTACTGAAGGCTGAAAATTAAATAATTACAAGGAAATATTTCATACATCAAACATCATCCTACATATACATTTCTATGCCTTTGTAACACCAGAAGAGCAGAATCATTACATATATATAAGACTAAAGAATTGCCACCCTGAGCGACGGCTCACCTTGATCATTACTCATGTTTTGATAAGCGGAAGGATTGAGCGCCCACTGAGTCGGATAATCCTTCCCCTCGAACATATCCCCGCTCATCTTCATTTGCGAAGGCGCACAATCAAGATCTCGACTATGTATTTCGAGCCAGTTTGTGCCTAACCTACTACGGTCTATCACAGAACATAGTTCTTGGCGCCACTTCACTGAGATCGGAAGTGACTTCGGAAAGTGGAAGCGCTGCGAAAACGGCGTCCTCGCGTATTTTTCTTTTTTGGTCTCTCGCTTTCTCTCTTCCCGGCGATGCTGCTCGATGGAATTTCAACGTTCAAATATGCGTCTAATTTGATCTTGGTGCGTTTCTACTGCGCGGTGATAATACTTTTCTACAGTTGTACTGTTTGCCCAAAAAATTATAACCGTTACTATTCGGAATTTTGGATGCGCTTGTGCCTGATCAGCTTGACTTGACACAAGCGACGACTAGCGACGACATATGTCGTACGATGACGATGAGATGCCTCACTCCCCAGGATTTTGGTCGACTTTGACGAAATGCGATCTCGCCCGGGATTTAGACGATAGACAATGTCTACGACGTACCCGTAGTCGTAGACACAGACACTTCACCAGAGAGGTGGACATCTCGCCGCATCATGCAGTGCCAATACAGCATTTTAAAATAATGGCTCCTGCACACTGCACACTAGCCTAGTTTCCACCGAGAGTTCAATGTTTAATCCGGATTAGAATGGCTGTGTTTAGCGGACTCAACAGTTGAGTGAGCGCTCGCTGTTATTGGTGTATTCTTTTAGATCATCCAATCAACATTTTAGATCTGGAAGAATCGGTTTACCGGAAACTAGGTGAAAATTACAAAAACGAGCAAATTTATTAGGTGTTGACTAATGAAATCAATATTCTAAATTCGCTCACTTTTAATATAATTTTCATCTCATTTCAAGATATAGAATCGATCCTTAAAATCACCGACGAGATAATGCTATTAAAAACCGACATCCTTACGGGAGTTCGCGTCCTTGTGATATTAAAGTGATTAAGAGTTAAAAACTGATAATATTAACTACTATATTAACTACTATACTAATTTTATAATTTATTAGTTTAGTAGATGTATTTATGCACTTATAACTCAATAATACTCGATTTTTCTTTAAAATTGTGATTTTAGTATTATCGTCAAAGTTTGATTATCAACAGAAATGATAATCACAGAGAAAGAATTGTAATTTTTCTGCAATATATAGAATATTATAGTTTTACAAATATGCATATTTATTTATGAAACATTTATGTAATAAAAAATCATGAATTTAATAATGTATGAGACAAATATTTATGTTAATAATAATAAATTTATATCAATTGTTGATAATGTTAGCGTTCTTCAATTACCTCCGGGCCCTTTTTATAAAAAAGCCGAAAATTTCCTCAGAGTTGACTTAATAATATCTCGGCGGCTTAGCTCAATAATGAAACTTTATCCCTAGGATGGAAAGTAAAAAGTAAAAAGTAAAAAGTAAAAATTTTTACCATTGACATTAATGGAGAAAATTTTCACTTTTCACTTTCCGTCCTAGGGATAAAGTTTTATGATTGATATCCAGGAGCCATAAGTTCATCGGGAAAACTTCAATTACTTACATCGTATGATCCACACATGGCATACATCGCTAATTGGTTAATTTAAAAATAAAATATTCTCATTGGTAATGCAGTGAAAAATTACTAGGCACTCCTCCCTGCTCCCCAGCTGATATAAGTGGTATGTGCAATTAGGATTGTGTCGTCAAACAGGATCCTCCTAAGTTCATCATTGGCTAATGGTTGCTAATCACGTAATTACAATGGCCAATCAGAATACTTAGTACCAGTCGCGCTTTTCTTATAAATTTAGGACTCTAGAACAGTGAAGCTCCAAAATTCACTGTCAGCGCTAAAAATCTACAGTTTATGTCACGTATGTTATACGTTTTCTCAGCACTAGCAGTGAATTTTGGAACACATATACATATGTTAGGGGAGAAGAATTTCAACCTATCAGAAATTATGTATTCTACAATACATGATTTCTGATAGGTTAAAATTTTTATTCTGTGTTCTCTGTTCCCTGTTCCTTTTATTATGCGGAACCCCTTACATTTTACTAATTATTCCTCCTTCATGAAGTACGACAAAAAACTGTCGCAAATATCAGTGAGTCAATTGGTACTGATTGATTAATGTTAATATCTCATAACAATATAACTGGACGCTGACCAGTAACAGTCTGTCTCGGCGCGATTACGTAATTTCTCTCCGTGCAGTGCAGGAGGCCCTCTGCCATTTCGCATTTCCGTCGAGCTATCCAGAGCTATCACTGCTATCAGTTAGGTAACTCACTCATACATCGTGTTCGATCTTGGAGCAAGGTATTCTTTCGAATATTGACGTTTCTGCGAAGACTCCATTAACACGACAAGAAGGATATTTTCATTGATTGTATCGTATGACAAATAATTTTACGATGCAATTAATGTAATACGTATATAAATAAATCTTGCGGAATGCTAATGCGAATGATAATTGCGCTAAATTAGTAGATAACTCAAAGATATATTCGTTAAAATTCGATATGATTCGCGGTATCATCGCGAATTAAATCTCGAATCGATAACAAAAACTTAATTTTATCCAGTTTTATTATACACATTTTATCATCGTCGTCGATCTTGCAAAGGTTATATAAATCTCCATGTATTTCATTCAATAATAAGATATCTAATTTTGTTGGAATAATTGTCAGTACCTTGATATTCCATTTTCTGCTGTATTTTTATAGTGAGCAATGGCAAGTAGACTATTTGTGAGTTATTTACGACCTGTTATTCAAATCCAAAGATGTGGATTGGTGACAGTGGAGAAAGTTAATAATAGGGATGTAGTAGGCTATGGATACAATGGTGAACCTACTTACTTGGATAGAGTGGATTTTCCCTATCCTGCGATACGCTGGAAAGAAAATACTGCTGATATCATGGTAAGAGGAATAGAGTTAAAGCTCTCTCATAGGGTCTGTTCTTTGTCACTGCATTAAAATTTTCTAGCTTGAGTTTTGGCCAAATTTTAAATATGCAAAATAATTTTTAAGTATTTTAAAAGATTTTAAGACTTTTATTCACTCACCACTACTGTTTCAGAATGTATCAGAAATAAAAAAATATACAAGTCTATTCTCAATTTATCAATTAAAAAAATATTTTTATATTCAAACATAGGCATAATCAGAATTTTGTTTAGAAGGAGGAAGCCAATTTAGAAGAATTCAGATTTTTTAATTCGGAGGAAGTGAGGATAATCAAGTATAGATTATTGGATTTTTTTTATATTTTCTATTATTATTTTTAATTAATCACTAGCAGGTAAATCACAAAATCACGCATATTTAATTTACTAATTTTCTTTATTTTTCTCTTAAAATTGTAAACCATTCTTCAAACTGAAAAAACTTAAATTTATAACACTAAGGACCGGTTGTTTTATCTTTTGGAATTGTTTCATAAATTTTACACGTTAGGTAAGTAGCAAGATAACCCAATCACAGCAAATTTACCTCATAGATAAAATTTATCAAAAGATGGAACAATTCTTTACTGTCTTGGATTCTCAGAAAATCTTTCTCAAATCTTTTCTCGGAAAAGCTTCCTAACTTTCACCTCCAATTCTCTTTTATTTTCCAAAATTAATTTCTTATGAATACTTAAGTAGTTTACATTATTTTGGTTTTATAAAATTTAGGAGAAGAATCATCATCACTTTGCCTCCCTTTCTTTAGCTACCCTCATGTAATTATAATTTGAAAGAATGTTTATTATGCGTTTTCTCATCTCTGATGTTAAATCTGAGATAATAGTGGTGAGTGAATATTAGTCTTAAAGAATGATTCCTGATATTAATTCAAGAAAACTTCACATGACTATGTGTTTAAAACGGATTAATTTCAAAGATACAAGTCAAATTTGAAGGAAAAATTATTTTTTCCCAAAATTTTGAAAACCACTGATATTATTTTAATGAAACTTTAAACATGCATAAAATTTCATAAAATAATTTAAAGTTTTCGAAAAAGAACGAAATTTTAAAAAATATGTTTTCCACTTCAATTTTGACATTCTTTTAAAATTAAGCAGTTTCAGACATATGATCACACAATATTTTTGCCTTGAATTAATGTGAAGAATTATCTTTTAAAATCTTTCAGAATACTCGAAGACTACTCTGTAAATTTATTTTATTTTAAATACAAATGTACGCAAGTTCAGTCACAAAGCATAGACCTATCAATCATTACTAGGTGGCAATTGTCAAATTATACTATGTTTTTTTTGTCAGGCATTGAGAGAGAAGGAGAAAGGAGACTGGAAGAAGCTATCAATCGACGAGAAAAAGATACTGTATCGTGCCAGTTTCCGTCAAACATTTAGCGAGATGAATGCATCGACAGGAAAATGGAAAGGCATATTGGGAATGTTTCTCCTGGTACCAAGCGCTGCCATATGGCTGTTTTTGTATTTCAAGGAATTCTGTATGTTTCTGTGTTCCAATGTGATTCGAATTGCGTTATCGCTGCTTTATTGCAATGTTACCTCTTCTTCCAGCTAACCCGCCTTTGCCTGAAACATTTTCGATGGAGAGACGGTTGGCGCAATTGGATCGCATGAAGAAACTCGACATGAATCCGATCGACGGTCTCTGCGCTCGAAAATAAATTAATTAAATTTACCCTGCTACTAATTACTTAGTCATCATGTACAGTATCTCGTTCTTTGAGCGCTTTTGTATGTGTGTATGTATATATATATATATATATATATATA